TGCCCCTAGTGAAATTTCTAATCAAACGATAGCTGCAACGTTGGCGAAGTATGGCAAAATAGTGAAGGTGGATCGGGAAATGTATCGTGATTGGCCTAATGTCGAAACTGGGGTTCGACTGGCAACAATGAGTGAATTAACTGAGGGGATTCCCCGTCGTCTCTTCATTGGCCCTTATCCGATAGAAACTAGATATCGTGGGCAAGTGCCTTTATGTGGTCGATGTGGCGAATATGGTCATCGAGTTGCTACATGTTCGAATGATGTAAAGTGTTTCAAGTGTGGTCAAAATGGTCACATACAACGTCAATGTTTCAAGTGTTTTCTATGTGGACAGTTTGGGCATGTCAGGGCAAATTGTCTCGAGAATCGACGTGACGTGTCCAATGACAGCGATGATGAAACGTCGGAAAGTAATTTGAGTAACGATATTGGTCGTGATGAAGACCGTAGCGTAGACTCTCGGTCGAATGATGAAGATATGGACCCTGTGGACTCGACAAGTTGTAAGGATCCAGGTGACATCAGAGATGAAGTCATGAACAAGATATATAATGATGTCAGCCAATCTTACTCAGCAGAACAAGGATCTGTTCAAACCGTCGAGAACAACAAAAGAAAAGCAGAAGAGGACGTTTCCATACCTGACGAAGGTGTTAAGGTTCCTGGAGACTCCACTGACCAACGTGTCAGTGACATGGGCAGCTCACCTGAAGAACGGACAAAAAAGACCAATAAGGAGAAAAAGAAGAAGAGGAAAAAACATAATAAACCTTAAGGGACAATGGCGGAAATTAGTGTGGTATCTTTAAATGTTAATGGGCTTAGAGACCATCGGAAACGTCGTCTGCTGTTTGATTTTTTAAAGTATGAAAATTTGATGTAATATTTCTTCAAGAAACGTATATTGCAACCGTTGACGATTGTGTAAAATGGAACAAGGCGTCGGGTCTGAAAGGGTATTGGAGTCTTGGCTTGTCAAATAGTTGTGGTGTTGGTATATTACTCCGTGATCCCGACAGATTCCAACACTGTACTTTTCGTTGTGATGCTGCTGGACGTATCATTTCTTTGGACTGTACATTCAATAGTCAGGACTTGAGGTTTATTAATATATATGCCCCTACTGACGGGTCCAAGCGCATAGAATTTTTTCAAAGTCTTGATAAACATTTTGTCTCTCGTAGACGGTTAATTATTGGAGGTGATTTTAATTGCATGTTAGATTTGGCGAACGATAAATATGGCGGAAATCCTGTCTCAGGAGATACTGGTGCTTTATATCTCAAGAAACTAATACAGAGATTTGATTTAGTTGACGTTTGGCGTAAACAGCATCCAACTGATCGTCAATTTACGTGGCAAACTAAACGTGGTAACATTAAATGTCGTTTGGACAGATTTTATTTTTCTTCATCGCTTGTAAGGGATTATGACATCGAAACAGACATAATGATCTATCCCTATTCGGATCATGATCTTGTTCGGGTATTGTTAACAGTTGACAAAGCTACTAGTAATGTTGGTCCCGGTGTGTGGAAGCTAAATGTCTCATTATTACAAGTGCAAGAAGTTCGTGAGCAAATTGCTTCATTTTGGGAACATTGGAAAGACAGGAAAAATGATTTTGGTAATGTAGCAGAATGGTGGGATTATGGCAAGTTACGAGTTAAATCTCTTTTTCTCAAATATAGTCACAAAGCATCTCGAAAGCGCAAGCAAGAACGTGCGACCGTACTTAATCGCTATCGTCGTATTGTGTGTAAAACCAATTTATCGGAGGACGAAGTTAAAGAACTCGACTTAGTTAAGTCCCAATTGGAAACTATGGATTTAAAACGTATTCAAGGAAACAAGATTCGAAGTGGAGCAAAATGGCTTGAATCAAACGAACAGCCATCACGCTTTTTCTTCCAAAAGGAGAAAAGACGAGCGGTTAAGAAAACGTGTCCTGCTCTGCGCACGAGTGATGGGCGGAGATTGACTGAGCAAGATGATATCTCAAAGGAACAAGTTAGTTTTTATAAAGAACTTTATTCAGAAATGCCGACAGATAAAGTTGCCCAAGATCGGTTACTCAATTTACTGGACAGAAAACTAACAAATGAGCAACGCGATTCATGCGAGGGTCAGTTAACGGTGGATGAATGTTTGGTAGCAGTAAAGTCTATGGCAAATGGCAAAACCCCTGGTTCCGACGGTCTACCGAAAGAATTTTATTTGTCCTTTTGGGACCTGCTTAAAGAAGACTTTGTTGAAATGGCAAATTATTGTTTTTCAGTTGAACTGATGCCTGAGTCTATGCGCCAAGCATTAATATCACTGTTGTTTAAGAAAGAAGATCCTGAATTATTGAAAAACTGGCGCCCAATTTCGCTCCTCAATACAGATTACAAGATTATTACAAAAGTTCTGGTAAATCGTGTTAAACCTGTTATGCCCATAATAATACACCCGGATCAATGCTGTTCTGTCCCTGGTCGTTCGAGTGAAGACAATGCGACTCTCCTACGAGACGTATGTGACTATCTGGAAGTTAATGAAAGAATGGCCTGTGCCTTTATGTCGATAGATCAAGAAAAAGCGTTTGATTATGTTGACTGGGGCTTTTTAGACAGAATTTTAGATACCATGAACTTTGGTCCACAATTTCGATCATACATTAAATGTATTTATCATGATATTCAGAGTGCTATAATCTCCAATGGTTATGTTTCAGAATTTTTTCAAGTGCAACGAGGTGTACGACAAGGGTGCCCGCTATCTCCATTGTTGTTTGTCATAGTGGCGGAAGTGTTTGGACAAGCGATTCGGAAGTGGCCAGAAATACAGGGATTGCGTGTGCCTGGAGGGAAGGAAGTGAAAATATCACAATATGCTGATGATAACACCTGCATTGTTACCAATTCATATGGCCTTGTTAAAGTCATCGATGTCTTTAATGAATATGGTCGAGCATCCGGAGCGAGGCTTAATACACCGAAATCAAAGGGTCTTTGGCTCGGTAGGTGGCGATCTCGTACTGATTCACCCTGTGGTCTAACGTTGGTTAACACGAGCTTAAAAATTGTTGGTATTTACTTTGGTTCCGAAAATGCAAATATCCAGTCATGGGCAGAGGTTACGGCCAAATTCAAGGGAATATTGAAGAAATGGGAACCACGGTATCTAACGTTACGGGGGAAAATGACGGTGATCGGGAGTCTGGTGGCTTCGACGCTTTGGCATGTGGTAAAGATATACCCGCTAACGCGTGAATGTATTGACTCGCTACAATCAGAAATTTGGAAATTCGTTTGGTCAAAGAAACCGGAGTGGGTGCGTCGGGAAACGTGTATGTCAGACTATCTGAATGGGGGTCTGCGAATTATTAATCTTGACATCAAAAGCAAAGCATTGTTGATTGGTCGTGTTTTCCGATTTTTTGAGGAGAGTGAGGCACCTTGGAAAGATTTCATGCGTTATTACATCGGACGGTCTTTAGGCATAAACGATAACTCGAGACCAAATAGCGACATTCCAACTCCGTTTTATAGTCATCTTCTTCGTGTTCTGAGAGAATTTGCTGTTGATTTGGGACAACCTTGCACGAGTAAAATGTATTATTTAAACCGTATTGAAGATTGTGTTACCCCGGTACAAGCAAGAAGCGAGTTAGCTTGGAATCAAAGATTTGGTCCTGGTTTAATCTGGAAAGAGATTTGGACAGATGTCGCTCGAAGTTTCAATGATCCAGTGTTACGTGATTTTGATTGGCGCGCGGTACATCGGGTTTTGCCTGTCAATTTCAGAGTGCATAAATGGTATTCAAGAATATCCTCAGCATGTGCACGGTGTGGTGAAAGAATCGAAACATTGGAACACACGTTGATTCATTGTCCGATGGTAAAGGAGCTGTGGATGTTTATTCTGAAACTGTGCAATCAAATTGATGCATCGGTTATTGGTCTGTCAGAACGGAATATGTTGTTGGGTTGTTTCCCGCGAACAAGAACAAGAGACCTTTTGCGTTACTTAATTAGTGTTGGCAAATTTTCCGCGTGGAAAGAGCGCGTGTCATATCAGTTTAGGAAGGATGAGAAAATCAACAGTCTTGTATATTTTAGGAATTATGTGCGAACTCGATTAGAAACAGAACAGGGCATCATGGGCACGAAAAACTTTGAGTCAAAATGGTGTTTAAACAATGTCTTAGCATGTGTCACAAACGGTATAATTCGAACTTTGATCTAACAGTCAATATTTGTGTGACTTAATGTAAATAATTTAATGTAATCTAATGCATGTGAATTGTGTGTCAAATAATTTTGATTCCCCGTAGTGATATACACTATGTGGGGTTTTTAATAAAAAATTACTCTTACCTAATGGTAGAGTTTTGACGGGCTCTGAGGTACACGGGCTGTTGTCTGTTTCTCGACTTAGAGACGTGCAACGTTTACTAGTCGAAAAGGAGATGTGGGTCTTGAGTTTTCCTGCAAATTCAAGTCCCGAATTCAAGACTCATGCCAGGTCTTGAATTGAAAATGTAAAACCAGGTAACTGGTTATTATTTTTTCGTAATAACCGGGTAGCAGGTTATTACGGAAAAATAATAACCTGGTAGCAGGTTATTACGGAAAAATAATAACCTGGTAGCAGACTAGCAGGTTATTATTTTTCCGTAATAACCTGCTACCATACTGCTACCCGGTTATTATTTTTCCGTAATAACCTGCTACCCGGTTATTATTTTTCCGTAATAACCTTCAACCCCGTATTTCCCCCGGAGAAATCAAATACCACCGCCTGCTTTTAGACTGAAGGTTATTACGGGGGAGTTAAAAACCGACGAAATACAAAAGAATATGGTCTGATGAGTTTGTAATGATATTTAAACCCACGTTAGAACCCCAGTTGAAAACCATACCAGATATTCACGCCAATTAAAACCCATACCCTTATTTTACCAGTATAGCAATCTCATATCTCATTATATCATAATTTTGCATGTGTTATAGCGTCTTCGTAGAACTGAGAGTGATGCAGAAGAAGGAATAGACGAAGACGACTCGAGCTCGGAGGAAAATGGTGAACGTGTTCAATGTTATCCCTCGTGATTTTTCAAACAAATATGTATATAATGCCGTAATGCGTGACAACGAAAAGTGGTGGGGAATCAATTTACGTCAATATTTCCTGAAGATAGCATTAAATAGCAGCTAGTATATTGCGTATACGCGTATAGCTACATAAACTCATATTGCATGTGTGTACAGTAGGTATTCAATGCCTATATTTTTGTGTATTTTCTGTAATTTGTAAAATCAAGTTACGCTGAACAAAGGCGAGGTTTGAAGTGGAAAATCCATTATGGTGTCCAATTTTCAATTATCAGTTTTAAGGCCCATTTCCACGGACAGAAAATTTTTCGAAAATATCATTTTTAAATTTGACGTTAAATTTGTGTCGACCAATCACATTTTACATTGGGCCGTTAAGGCCCATTTCCACTAAAGAAAAATTTCCACGGAAAGAAAATTTTCCGAAAATATCATTGTTAAAAGTTGAAAATTTTCAACTTCAAAATCACGGCCAATCACATCATACAAAATTTTCTTTCTGCGGAAAATTTTCCCGAGTGAAAATGGGCCTTAATAGTCAACCGTGACAGTCAACCGTTACAGGACACTACATGGTAGTCTGATTGTGCGAAGGCCGCGGATAGCGAGTTTTTAAAATTTTCTAAAATTCTCCCTAGATTGGTATAACCCAGATTGAATTGAATTGAATTTAGTTTTTGAAGCTTTTCTTTTGAAATGTCGTGTTGTCGAAACTTGTAAGTGAAATGTGTATTAAATTTAGAACTTCATTCCGAGCATTATAGTTTTACGTTTCATTTTTACCATTTTCCCCAGTTTTGCTCAACCGGAAACTATATTTTCATTGACATACTTTAGATTTATTTTTTTCCATAATTTTGTTTATGTGTCCGTTTTTCATCTAAGAACAAACAATTTTTATATTCTGCAAAAATTTTGCACAAACAATCATGCAAACTTTGTGTATCCCCACATTTTATTTTAACTCGTAATTCTAGCCAACAGTCATGAAACAGTGAATGTACATTTTAATTCAGCTTCATTTTGTTTAATTTAATATTAACAATACCAAAGATCTTTACTTAATTAAATAACATGTCTTTCCCAGGATACCTTTTAAGGATTGGGGACAACATAAGCAAGATCGTAAAAAATATAATATAAGGAAGTATATACACCAATAACTAAAATTAATAGCCCGCAAAACAGAAGGGCAATGTCTTTAGCAAGACTAATGCGCGAACATGTCTTGTAAAACAATGCTATGTGTCCTATGGCGGGGAGTATAAGACTTAATGTTGGATTTGTAAGGGTACCAGCTAATGACATGACATTTCCAAGTTCGGGAACGGCGGCAGTGATACCAGCTGTGAAAAAAAGAAAACAAATGGTGTATTTATTATACAATGTAGGTTAGTACTTTGAGGTCCGTCGTAAAGCCTACCGCACACGAGATAAACTTGCTGAGCTAACCGCCTCGCCTGGCGGCTAGCTCAGCTGTGCATTTTCACCGCACACGTTGGGAAAACTACTCAACAACAGCATAATCTGTGGCATAATTGACAAAATCGTTTGTATTTTCCTCCATTTTGTTCAAAATCACATGAAGAAACTATGGCTCCTCATTGGCTAATTGATTCAAGCAATTCAGCATAGAGTGGATCGATACACCGGATATATCCGGTATACCGGTATTTGTTTAGATACCGGTATTGGCGATATTATTGACAATTCAAAAATACCGATATACCGACATTTCGGTATTTTGCTGTGTAATACCAATTTGAAACGCTGTTTCAAGTCAAACTTGCTTACAATCACGTTTATAGAAACCAAAGTTAACACTCACAGATGGACGATTTTGTTCTTACAGTTCTAGCAGCTTTGCAGTTCTAGCAGCTTTTTCTTACAGTTCTAGCAGTCTTGTTTATTAAATCGCCCAAAATTTTTGAAGGAAAATTTCGGTAAAAAAGGAACCTTCGATTTTGGAAAGTGGAAGTACTAGCATTTGCGAAGCAGCGAAAACCTTTTCAAGTTTTTTTTAGAAATATTCATCGGGCAGTAATAAATTAATAATTGCCGCTTAGCACCGTTAACATAGCTAGTCTCCTTCGCAGCCGCTCGAGCTCCGGGTTTCCTTTCTTAAAGAAACTCCGCAGCTACCATCTTTGACAATTGATGGTCACGTGGTAGAAACGGTACAATCGCACAAAGTGTTGGGTTTAATTATTCAAAACAATCTTAAATGGGACGAGCAAATTCGATCAATCGTCACCAAGGCCTCCAAACGGTTATACGGTCTTTGGGTATTATGCCGCGGTGGTGTCCCTCCTGCTGATCTTACCAACATATACTTCGCGCTTATTCGTTCTATTCTGGAATACTGTTGTGAGGTATGGAATTACGCGATACCTCGCTATCTGTCTGACGAACTGGAAAAAATACAAAAGCGTGCCATGCGCATTATCTTTCCTGGCCACTCATGCGACGAAGCTCTCCAATTAGCTAATTGCACAAGACTTAGCGACAGGCGAAACGAAACCTGTATAAATACTTTACAGAAGATTGCTAAACGAGCAGGTCCCCTTTGTTGAACACGTGACACAATCCAGAGCTTGTGCTCAACAATATTATATTAGAAACTTAAATAATCTGTCATTGTATAAATGCAGAACTGAACGCTTTAAAAACAGTTTCTTTCCAAGAGCAATTGTTGAACTGAATGCCATGAAATAGAGAAAGGAACCTACCTTAGATTAAATGATTAAATTTTAACAATATTCTTAACTTACTATTCGATCTTAACTTATCTATTAATAATATTCGTAACCTATTTTACCTTAAATTTTATGACCGTGCAAATAACTATAAACTAAATTTGACTTTGAATGTAAACACATTGTAATTCATTGTTTATGCGAAAATGTGTAATTAAACACCAAATAATAATAATAATAATAATAATACGTTCTGTCCTGTCCTCACATTCTTTAACTCTCTCCTAACGGCTTGTTGCGCTGATTTTATATGCGACTCGTCGGTTAGCTGATGTGACTGCGCTACAATCTGATCAACAAGGGGTGCTGTCACCAGGGGCGGTCGGGCGCGGACCGAGGCCCGGAGAACTTTGGGGGCCCGGAAGTCACTAGATTTCGAATGACAACAAACCATTACCCAAAAAGTCACCTGGCGGAAATCAGTGTTATATTTTTTATAGCACTTCAGACTCTGCCCTTTCGAAGTAAACATTCAGAATCTATAGCAACTGCTTTTGATGACAGTACAGCTGCAAAAGCTATTGTAATTAAAAGCTATGGGAATTTTCTAGGGGCTGTGAAACTTATTGCTGAGTTCTATCCAACCCTGCAAGCTCATTTAAATAAAGTAATCAAGTTGGCAAAGAAACGCGATCCTAAAAAGAACGGTGGGGCAAATTTTGTAACTTTTCTCAGCAAAACAAGTGTTGTAAAGATTTTCAAATTGTTCGCAGAGACGTAAAAGGAGAGAATTGCCAAAGATGTAAATGATGCTGGGTTATTTTCTGTAAAGATGGATTCTACCACAGATGTTTCCAACCACGATCAGTATGCTGTTGTTGCAAGGTATGTAGAAGAGGACAAAGCGAGAGAAAAGCTATTGCGTCTTGTAAATGTGTCCTACTCAAGAACCCAAAGTCTCCACAATTTATTCGAGAAGTCTTTAAAAGAAGTAGGAGTTTAACTGGATATGTGCATTGCAGATTCATTCGACGGAGCAGCGAATAAGAGTGGTGTCTACAATGGCTTACAAGGTCTACTTAAACAAGTCCGTCCAAGCCATGTCCATACCTGGTGTTATGCGCACGTCGTCAATTTGGTCATTGGTGATGCATCCACCGTTTCCGTCCAAGCTATAAGTCTGTTCGCGCTACTGAATCAAATGGCAAATCTCTTCAAAGAATCTTACAAGAATATGAATGTGTGGGAAAAGCAGATGGAAGATAATATCGGCCATGCATAGCTTTGAAAATTAGCGAGGTTTTGCCAAACCAGGTGGTCCAGCCTAGCGAAAGCCTTGAAAAAATTGTTTGGCAGTTTCAATGACGACACAAAAGAACTATTCTCAGATCTGTTGATGATTCTACAACACGTCAATGTAACACCAAATTTCAAAGGTAGTATTCGATACAAAGCCAAGTGCCTGGGGCAAAATCTTTCAAAGTTTGAAACTGTGTTAGCGGCATTCACATATATTAGAATCTTTGATATCACCAACCCATGCAGTGTCGGACTATCAGCAGACACCTGGATTAGATGTTTTTCAAGCATGGAGAATGATGAACAAAGCAACGGACAAACTAAGCAAGATCGCTAGAGATTTCCATGCGACAACGTTTATCAATGGAGTTAATGATAAATTATCCAAACAAGGCATTCGTTTGACAACCGACCTACCAGAAATTCGCGCAACAGCAATGCAAAGAGCACCCGGAGTGCAAAGTGCTGAAAAAATTTTTGAGATAAATTGTCCTAATGTTATCCTGGGTACAGTGGTCCTAAGCATCAGAAACCGATTCTCTGATCACAAAGAACTATATATAACGAGATTGCGTGCTTTGGTCCTAACAGGTTTAAGGAAGTAAAAACACACCCAGAGATGATCAATCTAACTACGATAACTGAAGCTTTGCCTTAAGTAGACACGGTCTCCTTAAAAAAAGAGCTCTGGCTTATCCTTTGCTTCAAACTACCATCAACTGAAACAAGGCTTGTTACCAGGAAATGATGACGATCTCAGCGACTTATTATTCAATTCACATATTATTTTAAACAAAGAAAATAATATTTTTAAAAACTATATATTTGTACACTTGTACATGGGCCCGGATTTTATTCCTTCCTGACCGAGGCCCGGAATGTCACCAGTCCGCCCCTGGCTGTCACTCTTTTAGACGAGACATACTCACGTTCTGCATCATGACTTGGCTTTTCCAAGCCCAGGCCACCCAGACGTGCTGGAAGTACTAGAATATCTCGATC